ACAAATATTTCAGGTTGTCAGTAAACTACATTTATGACATGCTTATTATTATTTTAGGGTAAATTAATTGACACAATATATCGCCAAAGTGATCTCTTTTGTGAAAGTTAATTTACAACGAACTTAAATTTTATGGTTTGTGTTTATTAATGCGAATATTAATCGACCCAAAGGTAGGTTAATATTTGACCGGATAAACACATGCTTGATGATAAATATACGACAATTTTTAGGTTACATGTCATTAATAAGTCAATCCAAAGAGGGGCTTATTAAGTGACATGATATATTGTCAATTCTTATTATCAAATTTTATAGTTTATGTGTTTATGAAATCAGGTATTAGCCGACCCAAAGGTTGGCTGATATTTGGTTGGATAAACACATATGTGGTGATTTTTTGGTTCCATGTGATTAATAAGTCAATCCAAAGAGGGGCTTGTTAATTGACATAATTTATTGTCGATGTTTATCTCTAAAACAAGGATATCTCTTGCAAGTTGGTATTACTGTCCAAAGACTTGATATTAATGTTGTGTTGATACCTTGTAAAGATGTCATAAATTGAATTTATTGATTACGATTTGTGGATTAATGAGCATAAAAATAGATTTGCTTATGTTCTCAAAACAACAAATTTTGAATTATGGTATTGTATCTGCTACATTGATCACATTTATGACTTATGTACTCAATGTGATTAACTTTAAGGAATGGAATGAGGGCATTATGTTAGTTCTCAATTGCATGGATATTCACCTTGCATTTTGGATAAAGCAACATTATTTGAGGATGTTGAGTTTGGGGGGAGAAATAAGGTTAAAATATTGTGTTTAAGGAGGAATCAATCTTGATTCCTATTATTGCTTTCAATAGTATGCAGATTATGAATCAGTGATCGACAATGTTATTCAATCTCCTATTCAAAATACACAAACTCAACAACCTCAACTTTAGATATCCTATGCGTTGTACCACATTTTTCATCAATTTATTATCTCTTTTGGTTTTGAGGTAAATACAGTAGATGATTTTGTGTATTACAGATTAAGTGGGAGTAAATTTATCTTTCTGGCTTTGGGCAGATATCTACACAATTTAAGTTTGGATCATAAGAAAGCAACCAAATGGAAATTGAGATATCTATATATAACAAAAGGCTATATGCTCAACTATAGGAAATTTAGATGTTTTGGAGATCATTTTTATTAAGAATGTGATTTTATTAGATGCCAAAATGGTTATTGATCCATATCGGGATACTTTTACATTTTGGCATGATGAGCCAATTCATGGAATAGACTTCGGTAGCTTCTTCCATAATGGCATCATAATTTGTAGCATGGAATATGGTTGCGGAAATTTGTCACGAGGCTACACATTATTGGTATTGAAAGACCACTAAAGTTGTGATAATAAGTCAGCAATATTATATTCCAACAACAGAAGTTCTATTAAGTCAAAGCATATTGACATCAAGTTTTCTTCTGTTAACACAATAGTGCAAAATGGAAATATATATAGCACATATGAACAAACTTCATGAAAGCGGATCCGCTCATAAAGGGATTACCTCCCTAGGTCTTTCATGAGCATACTACACACGTTGGTGTGATATTTGGTTTTAGTGGGAGTTTTATGGTGTCTTATGTTTTGTTTAAGAACAATTATGTTTTTCAGTACAGAATTAAGAATTCGGTTAACTCCATTATTAGTTGCACTTTTTTGAAGTTTGATCTCACTTCAATCTAAAGAGGAACTCGTCGGAAATCTATTTAGATTTTAAAACCACACATCATGTTTAATCTATGTCGTTAGTTATATATGTATATGTGACCATTGATAGGTTTAGTTACGTAAATTGTAACGAATGCCGCTTTGATCCTATACTATTATGATTAGTGGACGAGATTTTTTAAGGGTACCAATGTTATAATAACATTCATTAAAGTGCTTATATAGTTATACGTACATTTATATATTCGTGGTCCAGTGGGAGATTGTTGGATAATTATGTGACCACTTCATAAATATGTACGATATATCATTAAATCCAGTTATTATGGTAAGAGTATAAATTGTTGATGGACCGATTTATAGAATATTTACTTACCTTGTGGGTTGAGTTCCCGGTTTGACTCAAGATCCTCAAGATCCCTTCCATCTCTCACATTAGATATATCTCCATCTATATATACATGTGATGAGGAGCAATCAAGACACACGAAATACACATGTAAATTCGTTTAGGGTTTGCTAAGGGATTCTAGAGAGAGCTTTTGAGATCAACTGGAAAACCCAACCCTAGTTATTCAGATCCAAAGATCATAATGAAATCAGGTATGTAATCGTTCTTTAATGTCTAAGTTTTCTTTTAATCATATTCGAGATTAAAGATCCAAAGTTTATGCTTCCGCCTTTATGTTTTGGTTATCAAGATATCCAACAGTCGACGTAGGTAGCCAATTCATTGCATGTTACACCCCACTTGCTCATCAAAGTACATACAAAAGATTTTCATTTTTAAAACATATTAACTTTACAAAAAGGTATACTTCATATTACAAAGTTATAGAAAATTATACACTAACCATATGGTGATACATTATATAACATCAACAATATGGCACCTGTATTCTGAATTTGAATTTTGATATAAAATCTTGAAGTTAAGCTATTTATTTAACCTTGCTACTATTACCCACACCTACAATCATGGGATATGACACCAACAATAAGCGCTTCATAAAGCTTCGTGAGTAAATAATGTGGCTTTTGTATGATATAAGATACAATCCTCTTAACCATGTCAATGTGAACACTACAAGAATAACATCATGTGTTGATGGGGTTGACCAACTTTTGTTTGACCTGAGTATCCATGATGAGGACTTGTCGTCGCTACAGCTTCGGCGGGAACGAAAATTCGTTATGCGGTTTTCTCAAAACCTATGTCGACAACTCTGAGCCGACAACGTGTTGTCGGTAGCCTATCCCGACGACTTTTCATCGGTATAGGGTTAAAAAATGTTGTCGGCACAGGCCTCTTTACTCACCCCGATTTCCCTTTCATGTAGGTCCTCCAAGGTGCTCCAGAAAGAAGGTATAGGGGTATATTCATGTATTGAACAACTTAATTATAACAAAACAATAGGATAAATGACAAATATGAAGTAGTTATTCCAAGACTATGTCTATCTTGGGGATCGTTATATCCATATGGGTTATGAAAACAATTACATAGAAAGCGATATAAATGTTTAAAATAAAATTTATTTACTCGCATAATAATCCATTTGGAACAACATAAATCAACTATACGATTATATGGGGTTTGAGGATTACTACCTCAATGTCAATGTCTTTTGATGTCGGAAAATAAATTACCACGAACTTGTAATTAACCTCTATAATATACACACAGAGCATGAACATCAACTAATAGACAAACCAACCGATAAAATTGGTCTCTCTTTTGTGCTTGTTTGAGGTCACTTTTTTGTGCTTGTTTGAGGCCAACGGCCAGAAGGAGAGGGAGACCAAATTTGTTTGGGCCAACAACTACAAGGGAAATGTGATTTTAAGGTTTTGAATGTATTATCTTTTCTTAGTAATATGACCTAAGCATCCCTATTTAATACTTTTGTTGATGGAGTTTTTCAAGCACTTTTAAGCTAACCAAATAATTAGCCCAACTAGAGTTTTTTTTTTTTTTTTTTTTTAATTCAAGTTTTCCATTTAGTTTGGTTTTTTATTTTCTTTAGTTGTTAAAATATTTTTATAGTTTAGGTTTGTGTTGTTGTAAATCAACCATGGTTAGTTACTTTTTGCAATTTGTGAATATTAAGTTTTTGTCACAAATATGAAATGTTTGTTAATGGAAATCTTTCTTTGTTGGTAAATATTTAATGGTATATGTAAGATATTTATATGAAATAAATAAAAGGTGAAATGGTCATTTTTATATCCATATAAAAAATAATAAATGTTAAAAACATTTTATCTATACAAATTTCATTATCCATTCAGGAGTTTCATGCATATGAATTAAGAGTGAAAAATAACCCTAAATACTTCTAACTTTTATTAACATGTGTTACATATAATGACCCGCTTAGATCGGGAAACAACCAATTTAGCAAGGAGCTACCAAAATGCTTTTAACTCAGTGGTATCATATTAGGTGTTGTATTCCCTTCTTGAGGTCAAGGGTGTCAATCTCGTTTCCGGGACATCACTGGAATATGGGGTAATATAGGTGTAGAATATTAGATTTGTCGTTTAAAAAAAACAAGGAGTAAGCACCAAGAGGAATGTGACTAACAATTGGGGAATTTCACAATGTTAGCTCTCGAGTCAAACATGTTTCTTGTTTGAGTACTAATTGGGTCTAGTAAGAGGCTGAACATGACCCTATCAGATTTAGATGGTTTGATATCATACTTAGAAGCCTCTTACTTGACCAAGTTTGGTATGTTTCTTACTTGGTTAGATTCAGAGGTGTGTCTAACCCGGTCGTCTCAATCAATTATGACTAAATCAACGACTATCAAACAACCTCTAAACTGCAAATATATCATATCAGTCATGAATATCAAACAACCCTAAACTGCAAATATATCATATTGGTCCCAAATATGTATCATTGAGGCCTTTTACACTATATGTAATCAAAATTCATATTTTTCGAAATTGAAAATGTGGTCGCTAAAAATAATATAACGAATAAGTAACAAATATCATATTGTACCTAACAACCAAACATTCTACTACCGGAAGGCAATTGCATAAAGAAAAAACAGGGGGGTCTTTACCGGAAGGTATTGATATTATAGGTTGGTTAAGTGTAAGATTCTGCTAAATATAAAAACAAAAAATATTCCTCCCTAATTTCCCGCCCTCTCATCATTCGGTCTCTCTCGTAGGGTTTTCATATCCCCAAACTGCACACACTCGAACAAACTAAATCTCTGCGATCAAACTTCTTCCAATCAAAGATTATGGCGGTGCAACTGACGGAAGGCGCAATAGCGATGCTATCTTCTGGGAAATGGCAACCGGCGGACGTGAAACCTATGCTTCAGGTGATAGAACTTCGGGCTGTTCCGTCACAGACTTCTTCTGCTGTAAGTGGAGGAGAAAAACAGGAGAGATACCGGATTATGCTATCTGATGGCTTGTTTTTTCAGCAAGCGATGGTTGTTGCTCAGCTGAATGAGTTGGTTAGATCTCAGCAGATGCAGAAGGGTTCTGTTGTTCAGTTGAAGGAGTATGTCTGTAATTTCATCCGTGAACGCCCGTACGTACTACTTTCATAGTTTTCCATTCGTTATGTTTGTGTGAAGTTAGTGTATGTGGATTTGCTTCAGCAAATTGACGAAATACTTTCTTCCTTACAATATTGTTATCACAGATAGATTTTTTTTTAAATAAAAAACTGGAGCAGTTCTCCTGAAATATATTTGGTGACTCTGTAAACACATGTGTATAGCACCCCTGTTCTTAATATTAGTCTTGGTCTTTACTGGACTAATAAACAAATGCCACTTTTATCTTCTTTTTTTTATGAAAGACAAATAAGAACAGCTTTTTTACTGCAAGGGTTTTACATGGTACTAAAAGGATTCTTTTTTTCCAACTTGTAAGACTTGAAAAGAATCCACATCTAGCATTAGAGAGTGTATGTAGCAATTTTTGAGTATCTGTCTAGTTTTTGGTAATATAATATCGATATATATCTCTAGGAAGTATATATTAGTAGTATTTAAGATGTTTTCCTTTGATAGCAACAAGTGAAGGTGTACTTTATAAGGTATGCCATTTGTTCATCACTTTTTATGTGTAGCTTAATTGCTTCGTGATAACCCCACATATCAATTGATACCTTACATCTTTCCATTTACTTTTTCAGCATTTTTATAATCATCGACCTTGATGTGATTATTGGAACCTGTGATCTTATCGGTGATGCAAAATCATACCCTCCTACATCAAATTATCCATCACCTATAAACAGTTATCCCCTTCCAATGTATCCAAACAGGGGACCCACAGCAAAAAACAAAGTGACACCTAGGATTATATTTATCCCCATTGCTGCTTTGAACCCGTGTCAAGGTAGGTGGACTATAAAAGCCAGAGTGACTTCAAAACAAGAACTTATACGTTACAACAATGCAAAAGGAGATGGCAAAGTTTTTTCCTTTGATCTTCTTGACTCTGATGGTGGTGAAATACGTGTCACATGCTTCAATGCTGTAGCTGATCAATTCTATGACCAAATTGAAATTGGTAAAGTTTACTACATTTCAAAAGGCAGTGTAAAACCTGCTTCAAAAGCTTTTAATCATTTAAAAAACAACCATGAAATCTTACTGGACAACACGTCAACCATTCAACCTTGCTTTGACGACGGTTCCATTCCACGTCAGCAGTTTCAAAGAGTTCTATTGGGTGACTGGTAGGGAGAAGAAGAGAAGATGGTAGGAGAAAACATTGATCATAATAATGTTACACATTAAGCTTGTTTGAACCCTAAGTTTTATTTATAAATTCTTAATTTAGCACAAACATATATATATGAAATTATGTTTTCAATCGTTGAAAGGACACATGGATATGCCTCTTAATTCATGGATTTTTATAACTTAAGAATTACCGTTAACGTTAATGGTATTCGACCTACAGACAAACTGTTGAAACTTTATTGTATTTTTATTTATAACTTTTTTGTTACAAATTAGGGACACCAAAGGTTGTTGGTGTAGGTAGCTAATTCATTGTTGTATGTAACATGTATCCTACATTATAAGAAAAAGTACAACGGAAAAGTTTCATTTTTAAAACATTAGATCTACTACAAGATGTAGTTTATATTATTAAAGGTTAAAAGACACATCCACAACCGTAGTTATACAAACATATATAATAAGCAAATCGGTTGTTACATTACATCAACAAGACATCTATTTTGAATCTTGATATAATATCTTGAAGTTAACCTGCTTCCTTTACCTTGCTACTGGTATTCATCTGTATAATCAAGGGATATGACAACATATCGTAATCTTCATAAATCTTAGTAGGTAACTAACATGACTTCGAAAAAAAAGATGTAACATCCAACCATAGCACCATACCATAATCTCGAATGCTCACTTATATTCGTCCAATAATGGACCAATGATGAGTATTAGCCCTACTAGGCGATAATCCCGTATCTATGAATGTTGAACAAGTATGGGGATATTCGCTCATATAAAATGGGATTAACCTCCCATTGCATATTGGTACTTATCTAGTATAGAACAAATTTGTTTCTCTTTATTCGTACGAACAAAATTGTTCCATTGTTACTGACATAACAGAACAAATATGAACCCTTGCGTGAAACTCACTTCCTTTTTTGTTTGTCAGTTTTTGGAGTATCCTCATTCATAGGACCGAGATCTACATCTATGAATTTAAAGGTCGGAATGATCCATTGTTTTTAGAGTTGATAGATCTTCAAATTGTTCATTTGAAAAAAAATTGAAAACCTTCTTATTGAATGATCACAAGACCTACCAAAAATCTAAATTTTTTATCGGGAAGAACAATATCATCATTTTTATCCAATAAAATACCAAAGTTGATTATTGACTTATTTCATACTAGAAATAATCACAGAAAATCCTTTGTTACCATTATTGTTTACATGTTTGTTGTGTTTAGTCACTTAACTTTTGATTTTGTGCTCATTTGGTCATTTAACAAGTTTTAAGTTTTAAAATGTCACTTAACTTTTTAATTTTTGCTAAAATGTCACTATAACCGACAAAAACAGGTTTCCATATCTTTTTTGTCATCTACGGTCATCCGACTTTCTTTTTTGGCTATTTTTGGGTTACCAAACTTTTTTTTAGCTAATTAGTCATTAAACTTTTGAAATTGTGTTCATTCTTTTTTTATTTATTTATTTTTTCCACAATTCATTTATTATTACATTATTTTTGTACTTTCGATTTTACATGTTATTTTTCATAATTCGTTTTATGACTTTAATTTTATTGTGTTTTTTGTATTTTTTTCACAATTTATTTTTACAACTTCACTTTTTTACTTTATTTTCATGTTTTTTTTTTTTCAAAATTCATTTTTACAACTTCATTATTTCTTTGTTTTATATATATTTTATAATATATTTTTAGAACTTCATATATTTGTTTCGTCAATTTGGTGTCAATACTTAACTACATAATTATTAACTTAGGTGATAATCCTATAACTATTTGTTTCTCACTCATCCAGTAATATTGTATAATTAGCAGCTTTCTTATCTTAAGGTTTATCTATTACAACAGTAACAAAACTCAACATATGCTTCTCAACCAAAAAAATCATCATTATTTTCTCATTTTTGTTGTTGGTTTTTCTCTGGTACTAAATTATCCGTTTTGTTTGATTATTGGCATTATGTGAAACGTCCCAAAAATAAGACCTGCAAAATTTTATTTTTAAATTAATAAAACAGTAAACCATATCATTGTCACAAAACCAAGGTAATCGAATTTTATCAATACATCATCATCATCAGAGTAAATCACAAAATGTGGAAATGAATGGTGTGTGCTCTGCAATCATCCCGGGGTCTTCCTTTTGAAACTAGAAGTGTTTGAAACATAAACTGAAAACTTTAAGCACAAAGCTTAGTGAGTTCCCCAAAATACCACATACCATACATACATAGCATATAACGGGTCCCGCCCAATGAGTATAACGGGCCTCGCCCTAACTCGAATAATGGGCCCCGCCCTAACTCGCATAACGGGCCCCGCCCAATGAGTATAACGGCCCCGTCCTAACTCTCATAACAGGCCCTGCCTAATGAGTATAATGGCCCCTTCCCTAACTCGCATAACGGGCCCCACCCACATACAATTCATATAAACATAATAGGTAATGGCATATAGAATAACCATCGGGCCCCGCCCAGTAAGCATATAAGCACATACACATATAAGTGTCACACAGACAATGAGTATTCTAACATAATAGATCATGGGTCGGAATTCATGCCTTCGACCCACTAAACACAGTGAGGAAACTCACCTCAATCTGCTGATAATCAAATAACTTCTCGGACCGCCGAACTGGATAACCTCACGCCAACTAACAATAAATGAAATCATAATCAATAATTAACCTGATAACCCAAAATACCCTTAGGTTAAACTTGGTCACCCTAGTCAATGTCAAAGTCAACGGTCAAGGTCCAAAAGTCAATATTTATTCCCAGCGGAGTACGCCCAACGTACTCTAATGTTTACCAATAGTGGAGCGCTGACTGCATACGCGCAGCGTACCACCAGGTATGTCACACCCCCAAACCAGAACGGCGGAAACGTTCGGGGGCGGAGGACGTCATGTACAATATCATAACAAAGCATAATAGTAAAACAAGCAACAACATCCATTGCATTAATAATATAGTTTATACATGTGTGTTCTGTGTATAGTTGTAAGACACCAAAAAATAATATGTCAAAATAAAAGACGAGTCTTGAACATGCTCCATCTTCTTAAAACCTGGTCCAATGTACGTGTCTACTGGTGACCTGAGAATACAAGTTATTTTGAAAGAGAGTATCAACATTTAAGTGTTGGATTAGGTGTCTAAGCCCATAACTATAATTGGTATGTACTTGAATTGATAGTAGCAATGTCCTTTTGGGTTGCCTTCAAACCTGGTAATTGAATAGGATAACTGTTGGAGAGAGAAGAATGATTTATTAATTTATTACTTGGTTAATAAATTAATTTGAAATCAAGATAAATGATTTGTTAATGTATTATGGATATAATATATTAATTAGAAATCATATTGTTTAATTAATATTTAATCAGAAATTAATTTGGAATTAATTTTAGGATTAAAGGAATTAATTGAAACTGCATGGACTAAAGGTGACAATGTTCAAAAGTTGAGCATTGAGCATTCTAGAACCTCCCTTAGAGGTGGGGAACGAAATCAAGAGTATCCTAGGGTTTCCTTGGGCTCTAAGGGTGCCTTGGAAGCCTTAGGGAGGAAGTTAAGGGATTAGGGTTATCTAAGATACACTTGCCTTATCCTAAACCTTCCTCATCACATATATAAACCCCTATAGGGTTGGATTTCGTCATATGCACTCCAAGAAAGGATAAGGGCCGAAATTCTACTCTACTTCTCTCTCTCCATAGTAATCCTTGGTTGCTAGGTTTGTTTGTGAGCCATTACAGGCGCGACCGCTTGTGGCGCTTGCTACCAAAGTTCAAGATCTTCAAGGATTAGAGTGTTATTACAATATAACAATAAAGGTATGTATCCTAACCCTAATTATATGTTAATTTCGAAAATTACATGTGCCTCCTAGGGTTTCTAGTTTTTGTGTTCAATGCTTGTATGTCTAATAGTGAAAACATAGATCCTCAAATTAGGGTTGCATGCACACATAGGATTGTTTGCTATGTATAAAACCCATCAGTGGTATCAGAACTTTTGGTTGTTGTTTTCAATTAGATTTGATTCAAAATTATGAATTTGACAAATTAGGGTTTATGGCAAATAAACCCTAGTGCTTGGATTTTCGAAATTTGTTAGGGTTTCTTGAACCCTTTTTCCTTTGGCCCCATATTTTCGATTTTAGGGTTGGTATACCCTAGGGTTTTTGAAAATACCTTCCTCCCCATGATTAGATTTCAAAATTTTAGGATTAGGATAATCTTTGGTAATTATCTTGTTAATTGTTTAAGTAGATAATTAAAGATTTTGTATTATCCCTTCCCAAATTTTCGAAATCTAGGGGATAAAGGGATTAGGTTAAATTAATTATTTAATTTAATGGATAATCCTTTAAGATTTAATAGTTTAAATTAATTGTTTAATTTTGGATAATTATTAAATCAAAGTTTTGATATTTAAAATTTTAAAATTAAAAACTATTAATTTTCGAAAAATTTTAAATTTGATTAAAACACTTAGTATTTTAAAAGTATAAAATACACCCTTATACTATATATAATTAAAAGTTTAATATTATATATATATAAGTAAATGTCAGTCTTACCGTTAGTAGGCCTCATTCATGAAGTTGGTCTATAAGGGGTGTTTAAGGAAGCAGCGTATAAAATGACCGTCATTGGGTATCCACTCTTACCCACCGCACCCTTTACCAGTGGAGGGTCGTTAGCTGAATGGGTAGGATAGGAAACAACATTCCATTATAAGTATAATGAAATACGAAGTAACTAAAAACCTTTTTAAATTCTCAAATCTTAGTTACTTTAGGAAAAATGTGAATTTGGTGCTAATCCATGAAATTGCACATTGCACCTTGTTGGTCGTTAGTGGAGCGTGTGTGGTTAACCGGCACACTAATATGGGACCAATAAAGGATGGCAATGGGTAGCTCGTGGATTATCATAGATCAATGGAGCGTGTGTGGTT